AGCTTAAATAAGAGCATGGCTTTGTCGGCAAGCCTGGTCATAAAGACTGTGAAATCAAAACACTTGTGGGGTTTCAAGCACTGATGAAGGAACATTCATAAAAAGAGAAAGTTGGTTCCTTTGAGCCAACAAGATGACCTGGGCTAGGGGTCAGGGAACTGATGGAGATGGAATGTGAGAGAACTTAAAGGGGACTGAAATGTTCCATACTTAGATGGACGCAATAATTTCATAAGGGTATTTGTTAGAATTTATGAGCTGGACCCTTAACTTGTGTTGATGTTATATTTAAACTATGATGCCTCAATGAAATTTATGAAATTTTCTCACATTATTTCTTTGCTAGTTACTTTTGCCATAAAAATCAAATCTCTTTATAAAAGCCAGTTTACACCAATCTAGTACCACCACATTTTGGGGTTCCATGTATGGACCAGAATCCTGTGCAAGTGGCAAAGGACACAGTGGGTAGTGTCACAGACAAGGAGGGAGTCAGAGCATCCTTGTTGGCTCCATGAGCTGAAGGAGCCTATCATAGCCAGAGGATGAAACATAGTTTTTAAAGTCCAGGCCAAAATAATCTCAGTATGTTTGTGATAAGTCCCGTCATTTGGGTTTGGTACTGATTTTAACACCTCTAACAACCTCAGCTATAAAGCTGAATTATTCTGACATAGATCCTTGGGGATGATCCTAGCATTGGAGGTGATTTCTCACTGAAGCATAAAACTTTCTATAAGTTATATGAAAGGATGCTGAAAAGTTAACTGAACAGTGTGAAACTGCTGTGTTACAAGGCTTCTTCCCATCAGAAGACTCCAATGGCTCCAATAGCTCTTCATGATCCAGCTTAAGTAGACTTTTCCTTTGTTAATGGCCCACTTAGGCCCAGATCCAGCAACTTAATGAGCATTTGGGGATGGGTGTGAGAATTCATTGAAACAGGAATGAAAGTAGATCTATTTGTTGAACTTGAAAATGAATTATAATATAGGAAAATGATCTCAGGTCTCAATGCAGCTGGGATCTGCCATTCAATAATGAAGATCCAGTGAAGTTAAGTGCCTTTGTGTAGTTTGGTTAGATAATGAGCAAGAAACAAAGTTTCTTACCTTTCAGGACAATTTCCTTCATTTTAAAGCTTTTAAAACCTTGAATTTTATGTAGTTAGTCCTATGTCCAAAGGTCCATCTTTTCATCTGGCCAAATTAAGAGGAACCAAGGCTCCATTTAGAAATCTTCTAAGAGAGCTAATATAGATATTGTTAGCCACCTATCCCAGGATTTCACACCCTTCCTTATAGAGAATTTCAATTTGCTATTTCTCTAACCCATCCCCACTCTACAAAATTCACTATATATTTCTTCTTGTGGGCAAATGGGGATTTTAATCATTCTCTTTTTACTTGATTTTAATCCTCTCCTCCATTTACCACAGTTAATGTGCAGAAACTTCATTTGCAATGAAAGTCAAACTTCTCTTGGTGGCCCAGCATTTCAGCATTTTAAGAAGCTAAGAGGTTCCATCTTCATTAAGTTAGGCTCAAATTGGAGTAGAGAATGACATACTTTAAAAACACAGATACAAAATAATGGATTAATGTTATTCCTTAATATCTCACATAGATCAATTATCAAGAGAGTCTTCCCCCCAGGTTAATCTTTTCTGCTGGATATGTGGCCAAAAAGATGGCAATTTGGAGGATGGCATTTATCAAACTCCTTTGGATGGAAAGTTTCTACTTTAGTGACATGACCTGTATTCGTTTAACAAAGGCAAAACCCCAGTGCCCAGTAACATGGCAAAAACTCACCAAAATACAGCCACTGAGTTCGCATTTTGCTGCTGGGTAAAAATGGTTGAAATCCACTGTAATTGAGTTTTAATATGTTCCAAAAATGTATCCTACTTTTTTCTTGTGAATGAGAAAATACAAGTGATGTTTTAGCAGGTTTTTGGCTTGGGCTTCCCACATCCTTGCTGTTCTGGTCTCACCTCCCTATAGGTCTGATTGGTAACAAAAAGAAGGGGAAACAAAAAATCTCCCAGTTCCTTCTGGGGTGAATGTTCAAGGTACTGTCAGAAGCAAAACGCGTGGGGAGCAGGGAAGTGGGGTCCGCAATCTGCTTGGAGATGATTTTCTGCTGGGGCAAACCTGTCACCAGATTTCAATGAACAGGATCTGCCTGCAGGGGATCCTGGTTTTTGCACAGCTGATGAATGTCACTGTAGGCGCAGCCCTCCAGCAACAGCACTGGCCGGAGGAGCAGTGTGCTGGCAGAAAGCGGCATCTCCTGCTTAGGGCTGAGAGCCAAGCCAAGCGCCTCTGAATAAGGGTGGATGAGAGAGCTGCAGACCTGGAACACAGATTTTTTTCATTAGACTTCAGCTATCTGTCCCAGTGAAGGAAACACAAACAGCCATTAAATGTGTCTTTCTTTCTCACCTTGCTGCCAGAAAGTGGCAGGGTGCAAATCCACCCCCTTGCCTCTACTAATCCAGTTAAAACACTGAATCAGAAATTACCTTCCTTCCTGACTGATCTTTGGGTGTGAAGCGGTAAAATGTCCAGGCACAGATCTACTAAAATTCATGAGGAGATTGAACAAGGGGACCAGCAAGGACAGGACTTTGCTTATTGTCTCTCATGCTTACCTGAAAATACAGGTGGCACCAGACAAGGTCCTGAACTCTGGGCTTATGCATGAGTGAAATGGGTTTTGGAGTTGCTGAAGACGCTCAGATGAAAGACCCTGCAGGCACTTCCTCCCAGCTCTTCTTGTTGGCATGAGTAGTGTACCATATGCTGGGGGTGGAATTCAAATCCAGAGAGAATGTGTATGACTTGTAAACGTACGTGGCATAGTTGTGTCACTTGTGGCTGTGTTTCATAAGTGCAGCTTCATGACTTGGAGAAGTGTCCCGAGAACACTGAATCCATCAAAGCAGCTTCCAGGACACGCAACCTACTCTGACACCGAGGCAGGGCCACTGTCTCCAAGTGCAGGCTTGATCACCTCTGTATAACCCTCCATGCATTAACCCCTGGAATTTATGTCACAACATTTAATCCTGCAGCCACTCCAAGGAAAAGAAAAACAGCCAGAAAGCATCACTAAGACTTCTGCTCTGAGCTGTAGTCTAGGGACAGCAAGAGAAGGGGAGAGCCCTCATGGTTTTAATCCCAGTACAAATAAAATCAGAGGTTGATGCTTACATATCACAGGATAGTTGTTTTGAAAGAGGAATAAAAGTAAATGATGAAACTTTGGGAAAATGGACTGTCTGGAATGGAACCAAGAGCAAAGTCTTCATGTTGACCTTTTGGTTAGCCGCATAAGGTAACTTACGTCATACCTTCCAGATATATGATTTTATTGTTTTGCTGGGAATTTGGTCTTAAGGGAAATCATATTTTGGGAAAGTAAAGTGCTTAACTCTTATTATTGCCAAACTTCTGCTCCCTTGGTAGGTGTTACAATAGACAAAAACATATAGCGGAGTCCTCTCCTCTAAGAACTTGTACTTTAGGGTTCCATTACTTGAAAAAGACATTTTCAAATGGTTGTCATAGATAAAGATCTCTGACTGATGACCATCGATTCATTAAGAACATTTAGGATCAGGATCAGAATGGTGCTTTTTCTGCCTACACAAATTGTTCTATTTTCTTTCTTGTAAATCTTAATGACTAAAGCAAATTTAAGGTTTATAAACCATTTGGAAGTGCTGAGCTCCTCTAATGAGAACAGTGAAATCAGTCTTCAGGGCAGATGTCAATCCAGTTACCATGCAGTAATTTGTTGGCTATTGATGGACACTTCCTGGTTGATATGTTTTCATTTTAGTTTTAGTAACTGTTAAGATAAAATGGCATTTTGATAACTAAGTGCATTTCTTAAAATCCTATACCCAGAGAGCTCCTTCAACTAGATCTTCTCTTTCCCATGATGGAGTGGAAAACATGGTTTTCCATGTTATCTGGACACAGACAATCCTCAAATTTATGATTCCAGCTTGGGTCTCTTCACTGAACCCTAGTCTTATCTACTTATCTACCTATTCAACATCTCCATTGAATGTAACTATTCATCTCAAGTTTAACATGGGGCTTATGTTTTTTTAATTCAAAACCTGGTCCCTCTGCAGCCCTCTTAATGTCAGCTAGTGGGAACTCTCTTTCCAGTTGCTCAGGCCACAACCGAAGAGTCGTTCTGGTAACCTTTCTTTTTCCTGCCAGCTCCACAATTTGGAAATAATACCTTCTCATCACCTCCAAGTCCAGAATACATCTCCAGCCTCCTGACTGCTCACCACCTGCAGGCTCAGAAGATATATGAAACTAGTCCCTTCTCACCAATCCCAACACTGTCACACTTTGTTCAAGCCACCATTATTCAATGTCCATATTCATGCACAAGGCTGCTAGCTGGTCTCCCTGCCTCCTCTCTCACTGATTTTCAGCAGTTGGAGGGATCCTCTTAATATCTAAGTCACATCCCATAATTGCCCTCACAAAACCTCCAGTGGCCTCTACCTCACCACCACAACCCAGGAAAATGTAAAAAAAATTGTTCAAGAAATGTTGGGCTGTCATCTAGTGCTAGAACCTCTAGTACCTAGAACAGTACCTGATGGTGTCTAAACAAATATTTATTGAAGCAATTGATCAGTTAATTCATCAGTTTCTATTTCTCTTTCTGTCTCCTCTCTTTATCCACCTATCTATTAGCATCTGAGAGTTTTTTCTTAAAAATTTGGGGAGAGATTGTTATTAAGAATAACCAACGAATTCTGATGTTTGTTGCCAATATTTTACCAGTTTCTTTAGCTTTTAACTTACTTGTATATTTGTTTATATTTCTGAAAGACCTCAGCTTCTTCTGTAATGACTGTTTTTTTTGAGGTGGTCTTTCAAAAGTCAGCAAAGCTAAAAAAATGTTAGTACATAGTGTCTAGCCACATTGTTTTCTGCTTACAATCTTGTGTCTTCTCCCAGGGATCAACAGGAAGGTTATGTACTCCCTGGCAGATTCGGCAGATGGGTTCTTCTCCATTGACAGCTCCTCTGGCATCATCATCTTGGAGCAGTCACTGGACCGAGAGCAGCAGTCTTCCTACAACATCAGTGTGCAAGCAACAGACCAGAGCCCTGGGCAGTCCCTGTCCTCGTTCACCACTGTCACCATAACTGTCCTGGACATTAATGACAACCCCCCTGTGTTTGAGAGGAGGGACTACCTGGTGACTGTGCCTGAAGATACCTCACCTGGCACCCAAGTCCTTGCTGTTTTTGCCACCAGCAAAGACATTGGCACAAATGCAGAGATTACATATCTTATCCGGTCTGGGAATGAACAGGGAAAATTTAGGATCAACCCAAAGACAGGTGGGTCAATAGCAACCTCCCTAGAGTTCCAGGTATCACTATATCCTGCTTCTGTTCCTAACTCAAACCACCCTTCTTGGTGGCTTTTTTTCCCCACCTTCCTCACAGGGAAAGCAATAGTTTTGGTGGACAGGCCTGCACAATTGTTCAGAGTGCCCTCCAGCACACTGCTTTTGAGGTTGTCCCTACCAAATTCCAAGCTGCTACTGCTGGCCTACTTGACAAATACCTAAGCCCAAGTTGGCTCCAGGGTTTCTAGATAGGAGGGCTTAGAGAAGCAATATGATTCCTAGTTGAAACAAAGAAGTGTTCCTATTCTGAACCCAAACATTTGGCTTTCTCTTTTCTGATTATTTTTACACAAATGCGTTGGGATGCACCTCCACTATCCACTGTCCACACTCAGATACCTACTCATTGGTCACCGTCCATAGCCAACACTTCCAGAGTGCCCTTCCCAAACCAGCTCCCAAAGTGGACTCTATCAGATGACTACAACTGGTTTTGAATTTGTACCTTGCTCATTCCTGGTCAAAACACCACCATTTCTCACCACACTCTTTTCAAACTCTGGAGGGAATGGATAGCATCAACTAGGGAGAAAGAGCCTAAGAGTCAAAAGAATAAAAAGATCCCTCAGCCTTTCTCTTCATCAATGAGTTAACAGGTATTAGGGACATTTTGGGTAAATAACAATGGAAATTTAGAAAAGAGGTTTGAATTTCCTTTAAGGAGTAAACATATTCACTCTTGTATTTTCATACAGTATTTGGATTTTTATTAGAAAGCCCTGTAATGGATATTTTCATTTGTTTACCAATTCCCCCTATGAATAGTCAAAGTGCTTCCCATTTTGCAGATAAGCAAGCCTTCAATATCTCCTGGCCTTTGGACCTATTTTCCTCATCACTTGAGGAGTGCACACCTGTTTAGCAAGGTGGCAAAAGAGGCCCATTGTTCTTTGGATGGGCCAAAGAAGCATGTAGAAAAAGAAGCTGTCGTAATTAGCAACATTTATTTAACATGGCAAGTGAGCTATATTCCTATTAAATCATTAGATGTTTCTCATGTTGTCTGAATTAGAAAAGTAGTTTTAGAGAGACTAAATAATTTCCTCAATGTCCTCCTTAGTAAGTGATCATTCAGGATTTAAAATCAGATCTCCCTGACTCTGGAATGTGGACTCAGACTTTGATCTAACACTACTAACTGTGGTGTACAGAACAACACACGTGGTACAGTGCTCATCTTTTAGTGTGAGCAAATGAAGTGTTGCTGTCAGGACTGCATTAGCAGTTTCTCCCAGCAGTAACCCTGCTTCTTAAGGTCATCACTTTAAAATGTGTAGGGATTTCCCTCATCCTTTATAACTTATTTCCCTCATTACTTTGCCCTGTTTTCTTAGGGCCATTGAATATGAGCACCATAGGGAAAATGGGTCAGTAGTGTTTACATTGGCACTGGATAACAAGACTGGGTGGCAGGTGCTAAGAACACTTCGTTCTGGGGAGAATGTGGCGCTTTGTTGTAGGTGTGGTTTCCGTTTCTCACCTTAAGTAGAAGGAGCCTATTGGCACTCTTAGCACTAGAGAATTTCCCTGTCCAGAAATGGGAAAGGATGTGACATTCTCATTGGTGCTAATGGATTGCCTCTTGGGTGAGAGAAAAGTAAATGTCCTTGAGAACTATTCTGCAGGCAGTATAGTGACCATCTACCAATTGCACAACACAGGATTGGGTCACTTCGCCAGGAAGGGCCAGGAAAGTAGGGGTGCAGCACTCAAAGAGTCTCTCTCAAAGGCAGCACTCAACTAGCTTCTGTCATTTGTTCTACCTGCTTAATTCTGGTTTTGTTTGCTTGCTTTTGAGACAGATTGGTAGGTAGCCCAGGCTAGTCTGAAACTTACTACGTAGCTCAGGTTGGCCTCAAATTTGAAATTCTCCTGTCTCCACTCCTGAGTGCTGGAAATACAGGTGTGAACCACCACACCCAGCTTCTACTTGCTTTATTTAAACAATTCTGTGACATGATCATCTCTGTTCTGTAGAAGTGGACACTAAACTCATACTTAATATCTGACCACTGGGTTGTCTGATTCTCAGGTAGTTCCTTTTCCCACATATTACTATACCTTGAAATTTCTGAGATCTGTGCCCTCTTTGTGCCATAATTATTTTAGATAAATGCATTACAAACTGGCAAAGCACGTTCGAGGTTAATTCAATTCAGCAAAGCCTGTAAGTATTTACTTGCCAATAAGGAGCAGGATCATACAATTACGTCCACACATCTCAACTCATTCTCCCTCTTCCTGGGTCCACTGGAGAAATTGAGAAACATTGGTTTGTCCCTCTTCATACTGCCTAGGTGTATGTGCAGATTTCATGCTACTTGAAAGACGTTTAAGAACTGTTACAGAAACATGCAAAGGCTTTTCATTCCTTCAGGGTTGTATTTGATGGATAGCTGTGCTTTAACTGACAACATTAGTCAGCCTTCTGGATTGCTTTCAGGGAGGCATTAAATAAACAAACTCTTAAACATCTAAACTTGGCTGGGGATGATGTAATAAATTTAACCACAATTATGGAACGGCTGACCACTGTTTTTTCCTAATCAAATAAAACTCCTCAATTTTCTTCAAAGGAGGTATTTCTGTCTCTGAAGTCCTGGACTATGAATTATGCAAAAGATTTTACCTGGTGGTGGAGGCTAAAGATGGGGGCACCCCAGCCCTCAGCGCTGCAGCTACTGTCAGCATCAACCTCACAGACGTGAATGACAATCCTCCCAAGTTCAGCCAAGATGTCTACAGCACTGTCATCAGTGAAGATGCCTTGGTGGGGGACTCTGTCATTTTGGTAGGTGCCAGAGGTGAGAGGGGGTGTGTGTAGATATCCGACATTAGTCTCCTCAGTAATAGTGAAGAAGGTACCAAAGACTATCTTAGACTTTCAGTGTCTTTGTGTCCCCAAGACTGCTAGACAGGCATGGGACTTTCCTCAGCTCCTTTTCTGGTTTTTATATTGATAGATTAATTTATAAAAAGGCATAAGTTATTGACAATTGCGTTTCTCCCAGAACTGTTTATTTTTTCAAGAAAATAAAACGGGCTATGAAATGAATTTTAAAGATGGCTTCTACTAGCTTATAAACTTAGATGAGAAGTTGTTAGGTGCCTAGAAGATTACTTCTTTCTGAGATCAATTGTACAGTGTGACCATTATGGTAAACAGTGGTATACTGTACATTTAAAATTACTAAGAGAAAATGGAAATATAGCGAATGAGGCAAAACTTGTTCAAGGTGCACTGTATGCATGTGTGGAATTATCACAATGAAACCCCCTTTGTATTATCAGTGTATTATAATTCAAAAGTAAAATTAAAAACAGATAAATAAAAATTACTAATAGAATACTTTTCAGATGTTCTCACCACAAAAAAATAAGCATTTGAGGTGACAGGTATGTTGATGTATTCAATTTAATTCTACTTTCATGTTCATAAATCATAAATGTAATCTGTCTGTTTATAATAAAAACTATTAGCCACCTAATGATAGAATAAAATTCATCTTCCTACTCACATCTTACACAAACACAGAGTAGGACATCTACAAATGGAAGTAAGTTTAAGATGGATCGTCCCCTCTTAGAGGAGCCCTTTGGAAATGGAATATTTTTAATAACACTTAGAACAAGCATGCACTCTGAGAGCTCAGGTTCTCTTAGGCCACAAATTACATTTTGTACCAAATTAGGTTAGAGAGGTCTCTTCCATCATCCATCTCTTTTCTAGTTTCCACAGAGTCAGGTTGAGGACAGATGTAGCTCTCTGCTGGTTAACAGCGTCTTTCTATTTCGGTTGGGTCTCTCAGGCTCTCTCTCCTTTCTGTGCACACACTACCAATGTGTGGGGCCAGCATGTTTGCTGTGTTGGTGGAAGGGAACTTTCTTGGGTTTCTTTATATAGAAATGCATAAGTTTGGAGAATGCCTGACTCAGTGGCAGAGACCACTATTTATAAAGTTGGGTAGGAATCATGTATGCATCACCATAAGTTAGCTTTGGGCTCTGTTTCAAGTCCTAAGGAAAACCAAGCCTGACAGGCATCAGCTCTGGACAGGAAGAAAGTAACAAGGAAATAAAGTGGGGCTCCAGTATAGGTGCCACCCTCCTTTAATCAACCTTGTATCTCCTCCACTGAGGGCTGATGCATTGGTGATCAGAGTTCCTAGAATGCTGTCTGACTTGAGACTCTTTATCTCTTGTGTCATGTCTTTTCTTTCATTTGTTTTCCATGAAGCTAATAGCTGACGATGCAGACAGCCAGCCCAATGGACAGATTCGTTTTTCCATTGTGAGTGGAGATCGGGACAATGAATTTGCTGTGGATCCTGTCTTGGGACTTGTGAAGGTTAAGAAGAAATTGGATCGGGAACGGGTAAGTTAGTTTAGACCACTTCCCTCCCCATCCATACCTATTCTCCACTGGATTCAAGGACACAGACTCCATGAGCATAAATTGCAAGGTTCTCCATTCTAAATAATGAAAATAAATAACAGGATGGGCTAAAATGAAGCGTGAAGTATTTGTGTTAGACATTTTAAAGAATTTCTAGCACTTGCCTAGCAAACTTGAGGAACTGAGTTCAAATTCCAGTACCACCAAAAAGAAAAAAAACTTAAAACTTAGCTTGCACAAGGCCCTGGGTTCAATTCCCAGACCTCCACCTGTTGCCCTGACCATTACATGGGACTAGAGGTATGGCTCAAAATGGTAGAGGGCCTGACTATCAAGTGCAAGACCCTGAGTTTAAACCCCAACATCACCAATGGTGGGGGGGGATGAATTTTATGCCAATAATAGCTGTTGGCAATTCCTTATTTGTGGAGGTTTTAAAGAAAAGGAAAGTATGTATCTCTGGAAAGTTTGAACTTCAGTCCTTCCTAGAGCAAGGGGACATAAAAATACCTTCCTGAATTCATGAGCAACGTTAGCCCTCGCAAGCATATGCAGAAAGATCACCTAAAAGTATGTGGATCAGAAGAATATCTAGAAAGTTCCTCTGTCCAAGGTTAAACCAAGTTTCTAAATGTCATCTTTCTTGACCAAGAAAGTGTGTCTTCAAAGAGAAATTAAATACAAAAAAGCAGATAAAATCTTGTAGATTCTCATGGGGCTATATTCCCATAACTCCAGAAATATCAAAATTGGTAAGACATGTCAATGGTGGCAACTGTTGTGCTGAACAAAGACCAAGAGCCAAGGTTCTAATTAGGAGTGGCTTTGTCCCACAAGGCACATTTGCCAATGTTTAAGAGACATTTTTGGGTGGCACAACTGGGCAGGGGTAATGGTGACTCTTAGTCAATAGCAATCAGGAGTTCTGCTAAATATCCTACAAAGTGCAGGTCAGTCCCCAACAACAGAGAATTATCCAATCCAAATATCAGTATTGCAGATTGTGAAACCTGGGTCTACAGTACCAGAGGGAAGGTGGCTGACCTCTCACCAGCACAGCCAGAAGCTGCAGTTCCTCTGAGCTTGCACAGGAAGAAGGAAGTGCTACCTTTCCTTACCATTACCTCCTTGTGCCTTGGCAGGTATCTGGGTACTCCCTGCTTGTCCAGGCAGTAGACAGTGGCATTCCTGCAATGTCAGCAACTGCAACTGTCAACATTGATATTTCTGATGTGAATGACAACAGCCCAGTGTTTACACCTGCCAACTACACTGCTGTGATTCAGGTAAGTGAATGTTGCCTGCCAGACACTCATCTGTACACATTCAGCCCCCTTCCTCTGCTGTGGCTTACTCATTGTCTTAGTGAGTTGGGGCTGCTATAACAAAATATATTAGACTACATAATTATAAACAACAGAAATTTATTTCTGACTGTTTTGAAAGTGGGTAAGTCCAAGGTCAAGGCCTTAGCGGATTTTGTGACTGGTTAGGGCTTAGTTTCTGCTTCATAACAGTAACTTCACATTCACTCAGTCATCTTGTATAAGGACACCAATCCTTGCCAACCCTCTACCTCTTTCCACTATGGTGTTGGGAGTTAGGTATCAACATACGAATTTGAGGAGGACACAAACATTCAAACCATAGCACTCATTAGGTTTTACTATTATTATTATTAGTTAATATCAACTTGGCCACTCACAGGACAGGTATGAAAAGAGCCTGATTTTCTCCTACAACTAATGAGTAAATGTTGACAAAAACTATGAAGAACCAGTTCTTTCAAGGATCAGAAGTTTTATGTGCACCATCTATCCCCACAACGAATTGGGAATTGGATGATGGGTTGACTCCCACTTTATAGTTGAAGCAGTTAAGGATCTGTGAGGTTTAGTTCACCCAAGATCATACAGTTGGCAAGTGGTAGAGTCAGGATTTGAATCTGGGTCTGTCTTCTGCAATATACATCTTTAAGCAAGTTGGTGCTATTTTTGAAGGGGAGGGAGATCAATATGAACCATTTTATCAGTCAAAAAGAAATTGGGCTTCAGGATAGTACTGCTACTCATCAAAAATTAATTCACAATTAAAAATTCCATAAGCAATTTGTTTAACTCTTTAAATATACTTGCTCCTTAAAATTGGACTGCAAAAATTAATCTTCTTCCCATTTTTTTTATTCAGAAGATATTTCATGAGCATAATTCTAGGTCTGAGCTTCCTTTACTTGCCAGTGTTTCTAGAAGCTAGAAGTTCAGTGCTAGGAGGCTCAGGAAATCCAGACTGAGAACACTGTCAGGGTGGAGGAATTTTGGGAGATAGACTGATGTGCATGTCTTGGGAGAGGCACAGATATTCTAGAGAAACAGCTCTTGCCTTATCCGGTTTGACTTCACAGTTGCTACCAACTCCTGGGGTTTTGTGGGCAGAAGATAAGAGAAAAGTGGCCAGATCTTAAGAGGCCCCTTTGCAATAAGATTGAAGACTAACTCTGGCCATCTAAAACCAGCCTTCCCTGAGCTCAGTGCTGCTGAGTTGCCTGGAAATCAGGCTGGGAGGCAGACATCAAACAAGCAGCCAGCTGCTTGTTCCTACCTCTTTGTCAGCACAATCTTGTTCCTTTCCCCAGGTGGAGTTTGCTTTTCCTCTTGTCTGATGCTTCTTCCAGCATCTGTGTGTGCCAGTTGCTCCCTGCTTCCCCAAAACTTCACCCAGACCTGAACCTTCCTTCATTCCTTTCTCTCAGATTGCTCATCTCTGTGACTGTGGTCCACCAGGGTCTTTATGTGTTGTTCCCAAAACAAAGCAGGCTTTGCCTACTCAACGTTCAGTTTTATGAATGCATCCATCAGCTTGACAGACTGTTTTCAGATGCACAACTGGAAGTCAGTGGTAAAAGAACTGAGAGTCTCAGTCCTTGAGCAGTGACTGGGTCCCATCTCTTCACACAGGGCTCAGTGTAATTTTTACTCCCTTGTTTCTCAGATGGTGACCTTGAGGGCATACACTCTCTCACTCTTCTGTGGAGGAAACAATCTCACAGAGTGAGCAAACAAATCAATAAATCTTCTGTTTTGTGTGGTGCTGAGTATGTTGTCAGTGTGAAATACTAAATCTTCACTGCCTGAGAGGTCCCACGATGGGTTCTAGAGGGAGGTGATGTCTAGTGTTTGATGACCAACAGGGCACTGAGAGATGGAACAGAATAAAAGGTCTTTGAGGTCCCCTTCTCTTCTTCCTTCCAAACTGTGCCTCTCTTTCCCTAACCCAGAATGGCTTCTTTATTCTTTTTTTTTTTCTTAATTTTAGTTTTATTCATTTATTCACATGTTCATACATTGTTTGGGTCGCTTCTTACTCTAACACATGGTTTTCATTAGGTTAATTCTCCACACAAAACCCAAGCAGGCTTGCCCTCCAAGCTGCAGTGGGCCACTGTTGCCATCTAAACAACCCAACCCACTTAATCCTTAATTCGATGTATAGGGAAGCCTAAACTAATAAAGCTGACTTCTGGCCAAGGCTGTGATAATACTGGAGTCCAGAGTGGGGCAAGGAAGCCAGTGTCTGAGCTACAAAGAGTTTCATTAGGCATTTTCAAAGTGAGGAAGATAATCTTTGACCCAACGAGGAGCTATAAGGAAGCTTTGTACTCCCAGTTTGGGGACGAGACAGAGAGAGGTTCTGCAAAAGAATGCTTGGATAATAACCTTAGGTCTTCCAAAAATTCAGATGAAGTTCAGGATTCCTTTTCTCTTCACCCTCAAATTGAAAAATATGCTGCCCCCTTTCTGTCCCCTGGAGAAACATGGCACAATTGTGTTGTGGAGATGGGTTGTGAAGCTCCCATTTTCAAGCTGACATATGCCTTTGTATAGTGACTGGGAATCTTCTAGCATGACCCTCCTCCAAAGTCTGATGTTGTGACATTATATCACAGTGTTGGACCTCAGCATAATCATGTTGTTACAAGTGTGTAGACGTGCCTTCCCATCACAACAGGGAGATGTTTTCTTGGCCTCAAAGGATTTCCAACATAGTCACAAAATCTGGAGACAGCATTTTTTTCCATAGCTCTTCAGGTAAAGGTAGGGCCCTGCAAGCCCATTGAGAATGAGGTGTAACCCACTCCATTCTTGGAACCCATAAACCTGTTTAATATGAGCAACTGGGTTCAACCTGCAGAGTACAGTGTTGTGGGGCAGTTAGGAGGAAGCAGCCACAGATGGCAATGGTGATGCTTGCAGACACCAGCATGTCTTTCAGAAGACAAATTAAATATCTCAGGAAATTCCTTCTGCCGAAACCCTGGCTTTCCCCCACAGTACTCTCAGCTGGTAATGATGGGGTTTCTAAAATGTAAAGAAAGGTGTAATTTTATCTTCCTTTTTACTGTTCTGTCTTATGCAGGAAAATAAGCCAGTGGCACAAGCATCCTGCAGCTGGTGGTGACAGACAGAGACTCCTTTCACAATGGGCCTCCCTTCTCATTCTCTATTTTGTCGGGAAATGAAGACCAGGAGTTTGTGTTGGATCCTCATGGGGTCCTTCGGTCAGCAGTGGTCTTCCAGCACACAGAGTCTCCAGAATATGTGCTGTGTGTTCAGGTATTGCCTTGTTCTTTGTCCACGTCAGTCTGCCTTTCTCTCTCATACTTTTTTCTCTGCTTGTTGGTTGGTTTTTCTTTATTGAGCAAATCAACATAATTCATTACTGTGAAGGAATGTTCCCCTTTTAATCTCAAATTTAGTTTCACTCTAATAAAAGCAGATTCTGCCTGTGAAATTGAACAGGAAGGAAGAGAAGCATCATTGTTCAGGAAGGACATTCCTGTAAATTGTACCTGGAAGAAGGTCACTAGGCCTCAGTCTGCATTATAAAAATTCCAGCAGTTCTAATTGGCCACAAAGACTCATTGGGGACCAATTAGGGGCCAAATGGGGGACCAAAGACTCATGCTTGCTCCTTTACACTGAGTGTTATTTGCTACATTGTCTCCCTTGAGGAAACTACCAATAATTGTCACAGTAGGATTTAGTCCTATCATGGCCTCTGCTTGATAGACCTTCCCCAGTGAAGCAGGAGGGATGCTAGCACTGCCTCCCAGCATCATAGCCCCTCAATATCATTGACCCACCTGAAAAGAATTAGACAGAGAAACAAGAGAAGTGGGTACACAAAAGGTTAAAAAAAAGCAGAAATATAGAACAAACAAAATGAAAGTATGAACTTTCCCAATACCGAGATTTGGATCCCACTGACAACACTGAATGACTTTTCCAGCCCACTTTTGTCCCAGAGGGCAACCTAGACCCATTATGAATAGTGGCAATGACAGTAATAGTGACTCTTTGTTTTGGCATGGCATTGGATGCCATGTCTTTGGGTAAGTTACAGCTTATTGTACTCCATGGAGCTGTCCAAATTAGTAAATGCTGGCTCTGAGCATGTTTCTGAACTGCCCAATTGCCACTCCTCCTCCAATAGTAATAAATTAATAATTTTACATCACAGTGTTGGGACTCAAGAGTCAGGGGAGCTTTATGGTGTCTTCTCACAGCAGAAGTACAGTTCTTTGAAAACTGTATGGTCTGGGTAGTTGTTAGAGAGCAGGTATCGCATCTCAGGCTTGGGATCCCCACAGTGAGCCCTCTCCTGCTCCCTGATATTAAGACCTGCCAGGTCCCATGTATTCCTCTTTCCTGTGTGCATCACTGCACTTGTTGAGCCTGCTTTGTCCCCTATTGCCCCATTCTTATACTATTACCATGGGAGCCTCCTAGGTGATTCCTATGGTTTTAGCCACATTCTTCTCTGATCTAGCCCTACATTAATCCCTCCCACATTAATCATTCCACTTTGATTATGTCATCCCCTGAAATAAGAGATAAGCAAACTACAACCCCTGGGCCAAATCCTACCTGCAGCCAATTCTTATAATAAAGTTTTATTGTAACACAGCCTGACCCATTCATTTTCACCTTACCAAGCAATTCTATGGTTACTTGTGGTTGCAATTAAGGCTACAACCCACAAAATCTAAATTAGTATCAGTAATCTAGTACAAAATATGTTTGATGATGCCTGCCCTGAACTAGAACAATCTATACCTTTTCAGAACTTGAATTCAGACTGCAAGCTGAATTCTGGCCCCAGACTTTCAGATTCTGAGAATCAGGGTGTTTAGGCTGACAGCACCTTCCAACCCTGCTGTGGCCACATTCCCGTTGTTCTGTCACCTTGCACTCAGCAGCTTCATGCCTGTCAGTCACCTTTTTTTGGCCTGTGACATTGGAGGGGCCACTTCTGGCCAGCCTACAAAGTTCAAACTCATCACTGTCCTTTTAGGCACTCCACAGTTTAACTTCAAGTTTAATCTAATTTACCAAACTTATCTCTTCCCATAGGAAGCCTAGATTTCAGCATCCCTGGCTCACATATTCTATCTAATAAAACATTTGGTGATGAGAATAACAAAAATAGCAGCTGTGACATGAACCATCATGTACAAGTATTTCTGTGGGTTAGACCTGCTTTGGCTACTTTGGAATTGCTCTTGTAATTCTCACAAGAACCCCATAATGCAAATACTACTATTTTACTCAAGTTAAAAATACAAAAATTGAAGCTCACAGAAGTTACATAATTTACTCAAAGCCAGATATGGAGTGAGTGGCAGAGCTGAGATTCCAACTCAGCCCTGTGTGATGCCCAGACACTTGCTCTCACATTGCTTTCCACAGATAAGGACACATCTTCCTTGATCTCACTTGACCTGCAAGATCACTGTGATCCCACATCCTCAGACATCTGCCCGTGGACCCTACCTGTGGGAGTTTGTCTTTCTGAAGCCCTATGTACTGACTGCATGTGGCAGGGTGCCCACTAAAGACCTGTTGTCAGAGTGGTTGTTTCATTGAATCTTACATAAGGAAGGGAGAAAAAGCACTGGTGGCTCACTCTTATAATCCTAGCTCTGAGGGCAACTGAATTGAAGGATCATGATTTGATGCCAGCCTGGGTAGATAATTCATGAGACTTTATCTCCAATAACCTGAGCAAAATGGACTGGAGATGTGGTTCAAGCAATAGAGGACCTGCTTTGCAAACACAAAGCCCTAGTTAAAACCCCAGACCCACCAGAAAAAAAAAAAGGTGGGGGGGAAGGTCTTTTTCAGGCTACCTATTTTGTCCTTTGGTGTGCCAGTTTTTACTCTAAATTTCACTGTTGTATAAGTCCCATTTAAATAATGTTGTTTCTTAAGTGTTCTGAAAGGTACCATCTGGTCCAATCAAAATGAAAGAATCCAATAGAGAATAAAGATTCCATCTCCAAGTCACTCCCCTTCCTCAAACACATATCCTCAGCATTTTTCAGAAGACTGACAGGGGATGGAGGAAGAAGCAAACCTGGTTAAAAGTAAAGACATCACATCTCTCTGAGAGTTTGCTTTTTAATTATGATTTTTTAACTTAATTCCTTGCCTTTACCCTTTTTGGTTGCCCTAGGCGAAGGACTCAGGCAAACCACAGCAAGCTTCTCATTCCTACATTCGAGTGCGGGTCATCGAGGAAAGTATCCACAAGCCCACAGCCATCCCCTTGGAAATTTTCATTGTCACCATGGAGGATGACTTTCCTGGTGGGGTCATTGGGAAAATCCACGCCACAGATCAAGACATGTATGATGTGCTCACATTTGCCCTGAAATCGGAGCAGAAAAGCTTGTTCAAAGTAAACAGTCACGACGGGAAAATCATTGCCTTGGGAGGCCTGGACAGTGGCAAGTATGTCCTAAATGTGTCTGTGAGTGATGGCCGCTTCCAGGTGCCCACTGATGTGGTTGTACACGTGGAGCAACTGGTACGCGAGATGCTGCAGAACACCGTCACCATCCGCTTTGACGACGTGTCCGCTGAGGACTTTGTGGGGCTGCACATGCATGGGTTCCGGCGCACCCTAAGGAACGCAGTTCTCACTCAGAAGCAGGACAGCCTGCACATCATCAGCATCCAGCCCGTGGCAGGCACCAACCAGCTGGACATGCTGTTCGCAGTGGAGATGCACAGCAGCGAGTTCTACAAGCCAGCCTACCTGATCCAGAAGCTGTCCAGTGCCAGGCGGCACCTGGAGAACGTCATGCGCATCTCAGCTATCCTGGAGAAGAACTGCTCAGGTCTGGACTGTCAGGAGCAGCACTGTGAACAGGGCTTGTCACTGGATTCCCACGCGCTCATGACCTATAGCACAGCTCGCATCAGCTTCGTGTGTCCACGTTTCTATAGGAACGTGCGTTGCACCTGTAATGGTGAGTGTGTTTAGAGTTTCCTCCCATCTCCCAAGATTTTAGGAGTGGATTGGTTGCCATTTATGATACCCATAAACTCACCAGCTGAATATTAACTGACCACCTACTATGTGCCCAATAACCACGATGGATTCTGGGGCTGCAGGAGAAACAATACAAGCCAGTCCCGTTCCAACGGAAGGTCATGTGACATGCACTGTTAGAAGTATAAGATACTTCCTAGAGGCACAGTGAGAGGTAAACTTCCTACAGGTTGAGATAAAGGTGAAGTACGAATTAAGGAAGGAGAGGGAGAGTGTCCCAGGTAAAACGCATTTGGTTTGAGGAAGGTTTAAAGATGAGAGCAAGGATCCTACAGGAAAGCTTTCCTCTGGCTGGAAGGAGGCAGTGAGACTGGAGAAGCAGGCCCAGTGTTCACAGGAGAGTCATTAGCACAGATGACAAATTTAGAAATTATCCCAAAATAGGGGCGGGGAGCTATTGACTGATTTGAGAAGGTCCAGGCCAGAGGCAGGAAAACAAGTTTAGAAGCTGTGGCAGAGGGGAAGAGAGACTCAATTTGCTTCAGTTAAAAACAAGGGCCATGGGTCCAGGAGATCAATCAAGGGATGGACTCAGCCCTCAGAGCTGCAGGGCAGAATGGTTCCTGTTCATTGATGTGATTATAGTCATTGAATCTCGACCTTTGCTGGTCAAAGGCAGTAGCTATGTAGAGTCACATGCCCATAGTGATCAGTGAGAAGAATTGCTCGCTCACTCTCTCTTTTCCTTTCTTTGATGTGTGGAGCCATAAATTCATTGCCCTTTTCTATAAAATTTGCACCCAGGGATTTTCTGTCCATTGTGAACTTGGTCCATGGGATTGCAGCCAGAAGGAAGGCCCTTTGTAAACCATCCCTGTAGGTAATTGGGGACAGCAGAACCCCTGACCTCTTCCTTTACAGAAAGTTCTTGGTTGCATTTTGGGAAAAGTACTCATCACTAGAAAGAGGACCTAGGGGTCACAGGTCCTTCCAAGAGATATTTTGACAGCTTCCAAGCAGCCCAGAAGCGTGCCAGGCACTTACCTGTGGTTCCCAGTGACTTCTGTTTGCATTTCCATCAGATAGATGCAGTGATAACCAGACCTGTGGAATATGTAAATTAGCTACAAAGTAACTCAGAGCATGCATGCTAGGTGAAATGCAGTCCTGACAGATGTCACCAATATGCAGAATTTATGGATGCCAGCTGTCTAGGCCTTGCCTAAATGTCTTTTGCAGGCAAACTGATTTATGCACCAAAGCTCTGCTGGGGCCTGTATGGAGTGGTTCACAGTGGGGCTCAACAGAGGTTCAGGACAGAACAGGACAAACTCTGCAGCAGAAATTATACCAGCTAATTAGTCCTCATACTTAGAGAACTCAGAGCAAATATCTGTGTAGGTAGCAGTGTCTGAGGCACTGAAGATTTAAAGTGAAAACAGATAGTTTCTGCCCTTAGGAACTGGCTATGGCAAAGCCAGCTTCGAATCACCTACCTGCAGTAATGCTGGCATAATAAGTAATAGAGGAAAAAAAGCACAGAGTCCTTCATGTGGCCAAAAAGAAACTTTTATGATATTTGTACATAGAGACCACATATGTGCTGGGTCTTCAGGGATGAATATCAAGAAGAGGCAGGGAGAGGCTTGCAAAATTTCTTTAAAGGAGGACTTTAAAAGACCAGTTTCTGTTGGGGGGTGGAAAGACTTGTTCCTCCATTTGTTCAAGACACAAATGTTTTAAATACGCTTCAAGGTGATACCCCTGCCCAGGATGCTGTAGTCTCCATAAACCTTTGTACTCCCGGTCAACCTAGAATGCCAAAAGTTTTTGTGATTCAGCCTTTAGGTAGGCCAAGAGTAGATCTGAGTTTGAAAAGTGAGCCTTTCTTCAATGACAGCTCTGTGCATAGTTAGACTAAGCTCTCGGCCTCTTCTTGCCTTCAAGTCACTCATAATTAAGCGCTAAAAATAGCTTAAAATGTCATCTGTTCCAGAACCTCCTTCAGTAGGTGATATATGGTAACCTCCTTCATGGTAGCTGTGCACCTTGCCCAGGGTCATAGCGGTGGGCTTGCTAATTCATTATAGGCTCCCCTTGGTCCCCAGTTTTATTATCTGCTGTTATAGTTTTATTCTAAAACTTCCTAAAGGCTCATGTGTTAAGGCTTGGTTGCCAACTGATTGGCTTTTGAGAGGTGAGTGGAGCCATGAGGGCCTTAACTCATCAGTGAATTAATCCATTGATGAATTTATAGTTGAATGGATGGATGGACTCTTAAGAGGTGGGATCTAGTTGGAGGAAGTAGATCACTGAGGACATGCCTCTGTCCCTGGACCCTTTTCTGTCTCTCTTTGTTTCCTGGCTGCCAGGAAATGAGCAGCTCTACTCCATCACACTCATCTACCATGATGTTCTGCCTTGCCTCAGGCCCAAAGCCATGGAGCCAGCTGACCATGCACTGAAACCTCAGAAACTGTGAGCCAGCATAAAATTTTTCCTCCTTTAAGTGGATTTGCTCAGGCATCTTGTGACAGTGATGAAAAATTACCAGCATCTACATCTTAATAACAAGGATTCTTCTTTTTTAATGTAAATCATAACTTCAGTGCTTAGTGCTCTATAAGAACCCTTAAATAATGCCATGTGCCTAGCAGACTAGTCATCAAGCTCACAATGTAATCCCAGAAAGGAAAAAGCTTCTTTTGATTTCCCGTGTGCAGGGGCTTTCTAGAATTGCAGAGACCCACCTCAGAAAGGAGGTCTACACCAAGGAGTCTACACATGCAGCCTGGGTGACTGTAATGCTGACATCAAGAAACTAAACTTAAAGAAATCTCTTCTAAAGTTTCCTTTTAAATAAAAACACAATGAAGAATTGTCAAGGTTAGCAGCAGACATCTTATTGGAAAGCAGAGTTTACTTAATTCAACAAATGCCTCTCCCCTACTCCCTCCCACACACACACACACACACACACACACACACACACACACACAACTAGTATTGATTGCTCATCTGTTTACCCTGAGAGGCTGACAGATTCATTAAATGGACTTTCCCACCACTTGGTGGAATAATTAGCATGATAAATAGAGGTAGCTATCCATTCTGAGCTGTGTAGTAATGTTTATACAGAATTTGCCTCAGTATTCTATTCTCCTGCAAACTTCCAGCTCATCTTTTTCTCATGCAGATTTTTAGGGTCCAATTATCAGCTTGAGCATCTTGAACCAAAGTGCTGAGTTGTGTTAACAAAATGAAAGCAGACTTGAATTTTAGTGCCAAATAAGTTACCATGCAGCATCATAGAATCGTGTTTGAACACAACTCAAGAGATGCAGATTCTGATATTGTGAGACAGTTCTAGGGAAAATTCAAATGCTCAGTGAACATTGTCACTTCAGTAAGAAAGTCTGATACTAACTTAAACAATGGTGAATGATAGATGCCATGGAACCCCCATTGGGGAAGAGAAAGGAGAGGGCACCAAAAAAACTCACAAGGTTGTGTGGACTGTCCCTGCTTTAAAAATTTAACTGGCTTTTCAAAAGTCTTGAAATAGAACTATATAAAAAAATGAGACACTTTTCTAGAGAATATAGTCCCAATGAGATCATTAGAGTTTAAAGCCAATGTGTTTATGAGAGTATTGGTGGAAGCAGATACCTGATTTATCTTCTTTGTTCAGACAGGGAACACAGAATGGAGTCTAGAGTGAATAGAATGTTACCATTGTTGCAGCACTGCTAGACAGAGAAGAGTGAGACAGCAGTCATGCCCTCAACCAACCATGTCGCAGGGTGTGCTCATGCTAGGTGAGGAAACTTGAAGCTCTAGAAGTAATGCTACTTGAAAGGATGCCTAGAATTAGGCAAGTGACCATGACAGAGAGTTCTAGGGCAAGGAGCATGATAGCCAAAGAGTGAGGAGCATGGAGGTAAGTAACAGGGTACAATTTAGCCCAATTTAGGCAATTTAAGCAAGGATATACATGATAACTTATAGTTGTTGAACCACAACCAGTTTCTGTTTTATTTTTCACACATGTGTAACAGCATTGAATCCTCACTGCAATCCTACAAAATAGGTGTAATTTTTTTTTCAAGTATTGAAGAAACTAAGACTTGGCAAAGTCAACTGACTTGCTCAAGGTAAATGGTAAAGCCAGGATTCATAACTGACCATCTTACTAAAGTGCTTCTTAAACATTGTGGTTTACCTCCTCTGCACAGATTTGGAAAGGAGTTTGAAAGTCACCCAATCCATTTTCCCACTCACTACAGACATCCTGTTTACTATATTTCTGGCATAGAAATTCAACTAGGATTTGAACACCAGTCCAAAGTCTCACAAGACTGCTCTGAGATGATCTTCTGCCTTATACAGTACTGTACCAAAATCTACCTTCTTATAAAATCACAGAGCTTCATCGTTTACAGTTATAGAGAACCTGACCCATCCAGCCCCTTCGCTAAGACTGTTCTCCAAATAGCTGAGGATAGTTGTTACGATCCCTTGAAGCCTCTTCCTAGACAAACACCTGAGTTCCTCTGCTTCTTGGCTATAAATAAATATGTGCTATGGAGAGGTACAAGTGGCATAATGAGGACATAAAGGAGGGAGTCATCAGTACTACTTGGAGGAGTGTAGAAGAAGGCATTGGAAGCAGTGAAGCTCGTAATAATGAGGGGCATGTATTTTAAGCAGAGAAAGCAGTGAAGAACGATGCTCAGAGATTTTGGGTACCATTTTGTTTTCTCATTCACTCAGCTGTTAATTGAATACCATTTTACACCAGGCCCTGGCAAGGTCCTGGAGATACATGTCGTCCTCACTCCCATGCAGCATGAAACAGCATCATGGCTTAGGGCAGATGACAGAGCTCGGCCGGGGTACACGGGAAGGAGTGAGAACAGTCTCAGAAGGAATGTGGTAGGACAGGGAAATGCAGCCTGCCGGTAGGTGGTGATAATG